GTAACAAAATCTTCAATTCTATAATTTGATATTTAGTATATAGGTACCTTATGTGGACCTCACTCAGATTTGTTTATTTCGTGACATATCTTCAATTCTCTAATTTTGATGAATATTTTTTGTAAATTTTGGTAAAAAGTGATATTTTCAACTTTTTTTTCAAAAACGCAAGTCAGATTTCTTTGATATAAAAAATCAGTTTTTAGTTCTGTTTGGATGCAGTCTAAAAACAGGGACTTATGGATTGATCTTCTTGTGTCTGTTCATGCATCTGTCTCACAGTTCAAACTTTACACATACATCAGACATTATTTCTGACATGTGCACATGCATTTGTTTCATGAACCGAATCAAAATGGCCAAATGGTATTTTAAAACCATAAATGCATCAAAAATACACATTTTCATTAATATAAGATCTAAGTGGTGTGTGGACGGATTTTAAACTTGGTAAATACATTAAAAACAATGGGACCTTGTTACACATAATTTTATTGGATTGGGTTCAAAACAGGGTGTTAGGCAGCCACCAGCTAATCCACCCATCAAACAAACTGGCAATTTTAATTTTGGACTGGCAACTTTTTTCTCATTTTGGTTTTTTTTTTCCCATTGTTCTTTGATAATTTTACTAAAATATATTGAAAATCATCTACATTTTCAAGAAGTTGAATTGTTTTGAACTGGTAGTTGTAAATTCCTGGCTAATAACCTGGTTCAAAATGACCATTTTGTTTTAAAGAATGTGGTTTGTATCCATATATCAGACATATGCAATTTAATTTGTTTTATGATTTGATTCAAGATGGTCTAATTTTAATAAATCTGAAAATGTATCAAAATCACAAATGTTCATTCTGAAAACGAATCTCAGTCGAGCATGGTTTGATTTTATTCAAACTTGGTACATACATAGAATATATAATGGGTCCTTGATGCACTTTTTTGAGGGATTGGCTTCAAAATGGCTGACTGGTGGCCATTTTGTTTTAACAAATGCTGTTCCAGATCCATATGCCCGAGCCGATTCAAACTTCAAACTTTACACATATATTGAACATCACATCAGACAATTGCACAATTCATTTTCAAGACCAAAATAGCTGACTATAATGGCCATCTTGTTTAATGAATGCAGTTTCACGGAGCTACATCTTATGCATGTCATTCAATGTTATAGATATCAACTTGGTAGTCATGCGATGTCTCATGCGTATTAAACAAACAGGGTCTGTGTCATTCGCAAATAAAGAATATTATTGACATTTTTGGTAAAAAAATGTTAATATCAACTTCAGTGCTCTGGATAAGATGGCTTCTCAAAAAAAGCAGATTTGTGTTCGCCAAAAAGGATTCTGTTTTATACACTATTCTCATTTGTGTTATAAATATCTTCTACATCAAATCCATGCCTTCATTTCACTCCAAACACAGGACTGTGCATTACTTACAGTGGAGCTATATATCAGTCGATTGGTTGCTTGTTTATATTTCCATATTCCTTCAGTGACCAGTAGATAGATATGAAATCTGAATATTTTTAGCTTCACTGGCATCGTAGATGACAGAGCAGGGCATTTCATATAGGTGATTGTTTGCCATTGTCCATCAACAATCTCATTTTTCACTTCTTCTTGAAAACTACCAGTCTGGTTTATTTTGTATGTTGTATGGTGGACCTCATTTCAAAATGATATTGTTAATTCTCTATTTTTTAGAGAATATTTACTACCTTATACTAAAATATGTTTGGATATTTAGAGTACTGACAAATTTGCACTTATGGTCCAGTTAGACTTAAAATACACCACGAATATTCACTTTTGAGATTTAATTTTTGGTATGTGTTGATTCTTGGATATTTTATCTTCGTCGTCCTGTACTTCGTTTAGTAATTCAAACTTCCCAGTTTGCATAAAAAGGATGAGTTTCACGATTTCGACATCGAAAATGCCTTTGCTTCATTATTTGCTGAGGGACAGCCGCTTGGGTACATGTATGTGCTCTGTAACTTACAGCAAATGAACCTAAAAACGTTAGGTAATCAAACAAAAATGACGTTGTACTAAAGTCCAAAAAGTACGTTCAAGGTCTGCATTTGTTCGTAGCATGAAAACGTTTTACTCCCTTGCTTATTGTGACACTCTCAAATCAACTGATTTCCATTCCCCTCAAGAGTCAAAATGGTATGTGCCTCCATTTTATGCCATGACTCGAAAAAGTCTTTTTTGCTTGACGTGTTCATTTGCCTTCAATTGCGTTTCAGTGGCTGTCACAGTCGTATTCTGAATCTTGCCGATAACATCTTGGTTCAAATTCACGTAGATATCTCCAGGAAAACTCAAATATTTAACTAAAGCTAATTTGCATAACAAAGTTTTTGCCCTTGGTCGCCATATTGGACAACGCATACAACTCGGGAAATTCACTTGCATTAAATTGCGGAAAAGCTGCATTTAGTGTTCTTTTCTATTCTATTCTATGCCCAGCCAAAAAAATCACAGGAGAGTTAAAATGCCATTCCTGGTAAACAGTTATTCCAACTTAGGTGTTAAATTTCTCGGTAATGAAAAAAGATATCAAAAATTCAAATAGTAACTTTGTGCCCACACTCAAGCTGAGTAGAATGAGCTATGTCTGAAGTGTTTTATCCTGAATTTGTCGGAGGAGATACGTTTGGCGCAAAGGTATCCACAAATCAGTTTTTTGGCTGTTGCTATGGCAACAGTGGGCCAATTCTTTTTCCCAGAATTTTCTTTATAACTAGGGTGAAGGTGTGACCTACCTGCCAAGTTTGATTGAAATCGGCCAGGCTAAAAAATCACAGAAGTAATAATACGTGAAAACATTGGTAATCACACAGACACACACACACACACAAAACAACAAAAGTGATTATAAGGGCACTCATAGCGGAGCGGATCGCCAATAAACAAATATTTTCGAAAAAAAACACTGACCGTGTAATATGCCCTTGAGAAGTATTACTGAAGGAATATTTTATATTGCAATTTCTTTCAATTTAATTAGTTGTATTGCAATGCATTAGTAATAATGTAAATATATAAATATACATATATACATATATATATATATATATATATATATATATATATATATATATATATATATATATATATATATATATATATATATGGTAATAGAGGAATTAATACACAACTACATGAATATTGAAACTCGACAGCACTGTTTCGTAAGGTACAAGTACCTCACTCATCATGCTCCAGCAAACGATGCATTCTATGTTTGAAGGAAAAATTTATAATAATTTTTAGACCTCACCACTCCACA